CTGCTAGAGTTCCTTTGCTAAAACCCTTGTTTGAAGCTTTAAGTTCCGCGAAGGCTTCCCTTCCTTAACTGTTGTGAATTGGTGGGGAACATGGATGTATGCCTCCAAGATCTCCCTTCCAGGAAGATTTTGTGCCCTGGCTCCCCACTCCTTCGGGATCTATGTGAGAGAGGGCTGTCCGAGCAGGGTCTGCTGCAGAGAGCCACTCTTCCCAAGTTCATTTCTCTCCTGGGCTGGCCCACAGATAGAGACTGATCAAAAGTGGGGTATAAAGACCCAGACATTTTGGTCCAACTGGGGAAAGGTTGTCAGACAAAATACTGCATGGGATAAATATCGCATGGGATATACTTATGCTAAAACGTTATTTGTAGTTCATCTGAAATTCAAAGGTAATAATAGGTGTTCCATATTGTCATTTGCTATATCTGGCAGTCTTAAATGAGGGGCAATTCTGATAGGCCCTATGGTGTCCAGAGCCCCTGGTGGGTCCCCCTAGACTTTGTCAGGTGTGCTTTGCTCTTCAACTCTCCCTCTGCTGACTCGCCCTTCCTTCCCCTTCCTAACAAGTACCTCTCGTGCCAAATTCTATGTCAACGCCCGCTTACAGAGAATCCAAAATGCATCAACACTGATAGTTAAACCCAGGTAAAGGCATCTTGTCATCTCTTGGGAAGGTTGCTCAAACGTGGGCACAAACCCAGCATCATTCACCACCTACTAGTGTCTAGCAGCTCTTGAGACAAATATTGAAGCTGGAAAGACCCAGAAGAAAGGCTTCAGAACAAAGATAACAGATTTCATAATTAGATTTTATGACTTTTGCATCCATATGAATACATTTTCACACACATGCATGCACATCCATTTGTAGTAGAAATTAGTGAGAAAGGGGTGCCTGGGTGACTCACTTGGCTAAGCATTCAACTCTGGATTTTAGCTCAGGTCATGATCTCACAGTTTGTTAGTTCGAGCCCCATGTTGGGCTCTGCACTGACAGTGTGGAGCCTGCTTGGGATTCTCTCTCTCCCTCTCTTTCTGCCTCTCCCCTACTTGCTCTGTCTCAAAATAAATAAACATTAAAAAAAGAAGTTAGCAAGAGATGTTTAAATAAAGAAAAAATTTAGCCTAAAAGCCACTGATAGTGGTACTTTTCTGATTTCTTGAGTTTTTCTTTTTTTTTTTTTAAATCAAACGGAAAGTGTAAATAAATGAAGATACATTACCTTGCAAAGCAGAAATATTGACTATCAAATTTCTATTTCGTTTTGGTTAAGAATCAGTACATAATAGTGATTACATATTTGGCTTCTGGAGTTAGATGGAGATTAGTACATAGCACGACTTTGTCACTTACTACTGCAAGACTTGTGCCAAAGTTATAACTTTTTTAGTCTCAGTGTACTAATTTGCAGAACATTGATAGTAATCATACTTACTCCAGAAGGTTGCCATGACATTTAAGAAAAATAAAGCATGTACAGCACTTAGCTCAGGGCTTTTCCATAATATTGGTATTAATAATATTTTTTATTGTTTAAAGAAAGTGAGAATCTTTCTTAGTGCCTGGTTCCTAACAGGCAATAACCATGAGGGGGCCAAGTATATTTTCTTGGCTAGATTAATATTGTGTTTATCCCCTTTACTTTACAGAAGTCTTATTCTATTAATGTAAATTCCTGCCTCTAGCCAAAATGCCCAGATACATATTGAGCTGAAAAAGTTATTAATACCAAAATGGTCATTAATATAATGACAACAGTTATTTTTATTTTCTTGTCAATATAACTGTAGAATACTTGTTAAAGACAGAATATTAGTTTAGCCAAGGAAATAAGCCCAAACAGTTAATGCCTAATGGCAACTTGGGAGTAGACTCAATTCTTCTCCTTTAAAGCAATGATATACATTTTTTCCACATTTTGATATATTTTTTTACTTGAGATATATATATATATATATATATATATATATATATATATATATATAGTGGAAAGAGTCTCCCACCAATTTTTTTTAATGTTTATTTATTTAAAAATTTTTTTTAATGTTTATTTATTTTTGAGAGAGGGCGACAGAGTACGAATGGGAAAGGGGCAGAGAGAGAGAGAGAGAGAGAGAGGGATACACAGAATCAGAAGCAGGACAGCTCAGAGCCTGACGTGGGGCTCGAACTCACAAACTGTGAGATCATGACCTGAGCCAAAGTCGGATGCTTAACCGACTGAGCCAGCCGGGTGCCCCTCCCATCAAGTTAATTAACACACTCATCACTTCGCTTATTTTATTTTGGTGAGAATATTTAAGTTCTACTATCTTGGTAAATTTCAATTATATAATACAGTGTCATCAACTATAGTCACCATTTTATACATTAGATCTTTAGGAGCTATTCATCTCATAACTGAAAGTTTGCACCCTTTTACCAATCTCTCCATAGTTTCCCCACCTCCTGGCAACCACCATTCTAACTATCTGTTTCTATGAGCTTGACTTTTTAAAAATTAAAACAAAAACAATGTTTTTTTAGATTCCACATGTAAGTGATGCCGCACAGTATTTGACTTTCTCTCTCTGGCTTATTTCACTTAGCATGATGCCCTCTGAGTTTACCCATGTTGTACAAATGACAGGATTTCCTTCCTTTTTAAGGGCAGAATGATACTCCACTGTTTGTATACACCACATTTTCTTGATCTGTTCATCCAGTGACAGACACTTAGGTTGTTTCCAGACCCTGCCTATTGTGAATAATGCTGCAGTGAACATGGGGGTACAATGATTTCTTCAAGATGATGGTTTTGTTCCTTTTGGATACATACCCAGAAGCGGGATTACTGTATCATATAGTAGTTCTATTTTTCATTTCTAGACTCAATATTTTTTAAGTGGAAAAATATATATTAGCCTGTTTTCAGGGAAACAGTAACACACACTTTGGGATCTACTGGTTAGTGTGGGCTGTCACAGTGATTTTGGAAAGGTCGCATAAGAAAGTTGCTACAAAGTACTTGTCAAACTGTGAATTAGTGCTTCATCAGTAGAAGCATTGCAATCTTAATAGATTTGTTAGTGTCTGTAGGATAGTTTTCAAAACTTTGCATGAAATATATAGGTTTGAAAATTCAACCTCTTGTGATTCTCACAGAAATTCCTTGATGTGGTCTGGAGAGATATTGGTATCTCTATATTAAATAGCAGAAAACAGAAGGTAAGGGAGATTGTTATCCCAAGTAAGCCCCATCAGTCTTCTGATAAGGTAGATGATTTTGTCTGCTATCCTAGCCTTTGCCCAACCTGCTTGGTCATAAGAAGCACTTGGTTATATTGCCTTCAGAGACTCTCAGATGATGGTTAGGAATTTGCATTTTGAACATATATGTCACATGATTCTTAGCCCAGTTTGGGAAACTACTACCCTCCTTCATACCGCATTTTGTTTTAATAAATAGCTCCCCTTGGCCTTACAAATACTAGGCTCAAATGCAAGGTACCTCACAATCATAAAAGAAAGCTTTGTACGTGTCAGAGACAACCGCTTGTCAACCAATGAACTAAACCGAAAGAAGGAACAGAGAGAGGCAGTTGAATTTGTCAATAGAGTCCAGTGTGAAAGACATACACCTTTAAACATGTCTATAAATCCAAGACAACATTTGCACTGGGAAGGGAAGTAACGCCACCCTCACAAGAATTTATAGTTGGTAACTCTTTATGCTTTCGTGATTTTATTTGTTCATTTGTTCATTTACTCATTCATTCAACAAACATTTACTGGGCATTTACTCCACACCAAGCATTACACTGAGTATTGGGGAACAAACCCAGGACTCTCTTTTTTTCAATTTTTTTTTAATCTTTATTGATTTTTGAGAGAGAGACAGAGTGTGAGCAGGGGAGGAGCAGAGAGAGAGAGAGAGAGAGAGAGAGAGAGAGACAGAATCCGAAGCAGGCTCTAGGCCCTGAGCTGTCAGCACAGAGCCCGACACGGAGCTCGAACTCACAAACCATGAGATCATGACCTGAGCCGAAGTCGGACACTCAACTGACTGAGCCACCCAGGCACCCACAAAACCAGGACTCTTAAGATACTTCTACTTGAAATCATTGCCAGTGGCCAGCCCCATAAGATGAACTGGGCCCATGTATTCCTAGAGATTTTCTTAGCTAACACACTCTTTAACGCTCAACTGCAGTGCCCAAAAAAGCAGAATTTATCATAAATACATGCACTGAAAAGAATCTCTAGATGTTCAGCCCAATTTGTTCTTTTAAAAAATATATAATATGTTAAGCAATCTATTGGATAAAATAATATCTCTGTTGTACTATAAAGGGGTTGTTTTTTCAAGAAAATCAATCAAATGCTTTCATAACTTGTTACTAATAACACTAATACAGAATAATGGGTAAACTAGTTTGGGTAACTTCCCAAAATAATTGGGTTTTCCAGGAACATTACAGAAGATAAACAGCAAGATCAATAAGTCCTGAGGTTGCAAGAGTCATTATTGATTTATGACCTTGCTTACTTCCCAGCAAAATAATTGCTATAGAGAAGCTGGCTCACGTTTACAGATCATAATAATCTTATGAGAAAGTCTTTCTTAGCCCAACGTTTAAGCACTCAAAATAACAAGTGATAAAAAATAGCTTATTATTGTGCTAAAATTTATAATTGGTAATACCTACCATTCCCTTTCACCTACCTTATGGCACACGCTTTAAGTGAATATAAAAATTTTTTTTAAATCCTCAAAACAATTCTATTGCAAGAGCTATTGTTAACCTTACTTCATAGGTTAGGAAAATTGTACTTCAAAGATGTCCAGTAACTCGTCCAAGGTCACATACACCCAGAAATTTGCAGAGCCAGGATTCAGACTCAGTGTTCTTTTCCCATGCTTTAGTGCTTCTTAAGACCATATAGGTTTGGCCTAGAGAGAGCTTAACAGACTTTCCGAAACTTAGGATGCTTGGCAGAAACAATCATTTGCGTACTTATGACATCAGTACAATTTTTACCTGACGGTGGAATTCCCATCACCATTTCCAGAATACCAACATTCTTGGGAAGGTATATCTGAAGACAGACAATAGTCAAGCAGTCAAAGACCCATGAGAATAGATAATGCATGGCTTGATCAGTGGAAGTGTTGATGTTAATATTGATTCAGTATTCAATATTAATTAAATCTCTTCCTGCCCTAGGATTTCCTTCTTTAATTCATTGCTTTTTGTTGTTGTTGCTGTTGTTACGTACACCTTTGTATGGTTATTCTTTCTTTAGGGCCCATGGAGTGGTGCTTAACTCATCCCAACCATAGACAAACCTTCTGGAAATCGTGCTAATGCACAGCTGTAAGTAAGAAATTTGTATAGTTGACCTTGTTTCAATGTTATGCACACGAGGTACTAAGAAATTAGATGGCTTTCTAAAAGTCTGAGGCACGGGTGAACAGTGAGTGAAGTCTTTGTCTTTCATGCCATTCAATAATGAGAGCCATTACATTTCCTACAAATGCTTTGCAGCCACTCCGATAGGAATGATATGAGAGCCTAAAAGAAGACATCTCACATGGTACCTATTCCCTTATTATCCACCACTGATGATTGGTTGAGTGTAGAAGACTATACCTCCTCTATGTTGTCCATAGTCCAAAGGAGCACAAGACTAGATATTCTAAAAGAAAGAACAAAGATTTGGAGAGAAGTTGATTTCTCCATTTCTACATTATCCACTTCTTGAAATTCTTGCCTTCTTTTTCTCTCATTTTTCAGGAATAAGAAGAGATCAGAGATACCAAGGCCATGGATGGAGTTTTAGAGAAGTACTTTTCAGGGATCACCAGTGCTCTGGTGCCAAGGTATGTACAGGATGGTAGATGAATTATTCCATGACTTTTCACATACCTGTTTTGCATAAAGATGCAATGGTAAGTAAGTTGTCTATATCCTCCATTAGACTTTAAGATCACTGACGACAAGAGACTGTGTCTGTTTTACTTACCATTTTATCCCCATCACATCAAATAGTAGCTAGCACATAATAGACAATTAGCAAATACTTGTTGAATAAATGAATACAAGAGAAAGTTATCATAGCCATTAGCCACAGGCGCTCCGCACACCCACTGGTCTAAGCTACCATGAGTGGTGAAAAGGAAGGACTGAGAACTTGAATTTCCAGATTCTACCTTCATTCTATGGAAAAAGCAGCAGAACTAACTTGGCCTTGGATCCTCTTCCTATTACCTCGGTGGGTGGAGGGTGAGGTCCTGTCCAGTCTATTTCAATTACCTAAATGTGGATTTATCATGAAGCTAATAAAGCTTGCACAGTTCCAAGTCCATAGAAGAGGCCTGAGCAAGATATTCACATGCCGTATTTTAGTAAAAATTGCAAAATAAGCTATTTTAACCATAGTCAGTTAAGCCATTGACTCCCTTCAGGACAACTTTCCTTCTGTCACATTTGCACTCATGCCAGGTAGCAATGGAGTGGCCACAGACATTTTGGGGAATTCTGTTAGAGGGAACTTGAGTTGGGCTTAATTTTAATATAGAGTTAGTGAAGTATATTTATGTGGGAATATATATGGGACAGTCAGTGCCATGTAGAGTTAAGGTATTGTTAGCCAGTCAAGAGTAAGAATGGCTTCCAGAAATACTCCTGGCACTGCTATGCCAGTGCAAGGCCAGAGATTGTAATGTAATAATGACACAATAGTCTTCAGGCCCCACGGATCTTAGATCTGGCTCTGGCCAATAACTCTCACTCCAAGGTAATGCGCCCATGTCCCCATGTTGGGAGTGGCTCGACAGGAATACAAATGTAACACTTCCCCTTTAAATACTTCCGCTTTCCTTATCAGTTTCCTTCTTTCCCAGCTATCTCTCCTGTCTTCATCTGGTCATGTTCCAGGATTCCCTCTGCATCCAAAGATATTTCAAATCGTTTTATTGACATTCAATGATTCAATGATTATGGATATTAATTATGAAAATTAAATGCTAGAGTCAGCAGTCATCAGAGGAATTATACTCCACCTGTATTTTGTAAAGAATAACCCGTAGCAAAACTAAATAATATCTATTTCCATGATTAAAGGACAACTATATATGTACTATGAAACATGTGTTTGAGAAATATGCAGGTGTAGTGTTTCAGGTAGGTTGTGAATTGATGGGTAGAAAAAGTGCACAGACAAACATACAGTTAGGATAGATGTTCCTAATTATTCTACCGAGGCTATAGAAAAAGGTGACCGCACAGAGCACGAGCAGAGATGCAGTTTATGTTTACATGGATTTCCTTTCATTCTGGATTTACTATGGGATACAGAACTGCCTATGTCACTCTCCATGCAGGTAGAATCCTTCCAGAATTGAGAAATAAGCCAGATCTTGCTATGCTACTACCTTCTGAATTTTATGTCCTTATGTTACATTCCAGAAGAACTTACACCAATTACTCTATTTAAGAAATTTATTTTACAAACATGAGATTTTTATGATGTGCCGGGTATTTTCCATTGCTTGACCCACATCCATTCTGACCCCGCCCTGGTCTGCTCCCCAGGAAACTGGCTTGTACGAACTGTATCAATGGGCTTCATTACCCTCTGGCTTCACGTTGGGCTCAGCCAAATGGACACTGGCTGAAATGGGAAAATGGGAGAATGAGGATGGGATATTTTATTTCTTGGTCTTCCTTTCTACAGGATCACCATGGGTCAACTGCTCCTCTCTCCTGAAGCCCGCTTCTGTCAGGAAGCCCTCTTCCTATAGCTCTCCTCTCTGAGTTCCAACAACTGTGCCCTCCTCTTGACTTTTTAGGCCAAAGGGTGGTTATAGGTCTCACTATTGCCAGATGTAGTGAACTACACTACCCTTTGTTGATTTTCTTATCCCTTGTGCCCATGTACTTGTAAATATCCCTTTTATTAAACTCTCCCCGGGGCGCCTGGGTGGCTCAGTCGGTTGAGCGTCCGACTTCGCTCAGGTCACGATCTCACGGTCCGTGAGTTCGAGCCCCGCATCAGGCTCTGTGCTGACAGCTCAGAGCCTGGAGCCTGCTTCAGATTCTGTGTCTCCCTCTCTCTCTGGCCCTCCCCCCGTTCATGCTCTGTCTCTCTCTGTCTCAAAAATAAATAAATGTTAAAAAAAAAAAACTCTCCCCAAATTGCCCAGTTTGAATTATGCCCTTTATTCTGCTGAAATTCTGACCAAAAACAGAAAACAAACAAACAAAAAAACCCACTCTACAACAGCAAGGCCACATCCTCATCTTCATGAGAGAGAGCAGAGTCAGCATCTCAGGATCCCCAAACCCCATCTCCTCTCAGAGTACTCCAGGGTCACGATAAGCCCGTACTCCCACAGAAGCACCCTTTCCGGGGAGGGTTTTAGAGAATGTCAGAACTCCACGTTAGAGAAAACAAGGGTTATGATGTACAGCTGGAGAGCACAGTGGTATAACTAGGGAGCAAATGTGAACAGGAAACGCTAAGGTATTTTGGTTTTAAATTTTGAACATGAACCAACAAGCTTGCTATTTCTTATGTAGCTGATTATTTCGTTTTATTATTCAAGACTGATGACTCAGTTTTGCAATATAGGAAAAAGGTAACTGGCATCATTAACACATTATATTTATTTGCCATACCACTAAAAGTTGGATTATCTCAGCAAAATTAATGTTCCTGTCAAAACACTTTTAGTCCATCTTTAGCAAGCAAGACGTTTTTAAACTAGTGCAATCGTCTAACAATCATTAGTAAATGAGACATTAATAGAACTTGTAGAAAGAAGTAGAGATCTGACACTGATTTGCAAGTTCTTTACTCCAGATAAAATCCTTCTGTGGCCAGCCTGTCACAAGCCAGTGACCAGCAAGGACTGTGGCTGGAATTACGTTTATAAATCAATAAATAAATAGCTCTCTACTCTCGAATCGAATACACCGAAATCTCCAAATCTGCTTTTTATTCGTTTTTCTTTTGACTCCTTTTACCACACATCACTGGGTATTTGAGTAAAGCAAAGAGATCAGGATACATGCGCAACAACAAAAATAAACCTCAGAGAAAAGAGACAAGTTGAAAAGCAAAAGCACTTAGTATTTTTAAAAGATTAACAATGCTATTTTATTGGTGAAACAGGAAAAGAAGACAGCAAAAAAAGAAGAAAGAGCAAGCGCCAGCTTTACGAAATAAATGAAGACAATGACTGCTGAATTTTTTTCTCCCATGTGGACAATGGAATGTGAAGTCAAGAAAATCTTTCCGAGGGGCACCTGGGTGGCTTAGTTGGTTAAGCATCCGACTCTTGATCATGGTCATGATCTCATAGTCATGAGCTGCCAAGACTTTGGGTTCCACACTGAGTGTGAAGCCTGCTTAACATTCTGTCTTGCTGTCCTTCTGCCCCTGCCCCTCTGTAAAAAGAAAATCTTCCAGAAAACGTATCACAAAGAGGATGGGGTGGGATGGAAAAGGCAAGAAGGATCTAGCATGTATGGCTTACATCCATTTGGTCATATGGTCCAGTTCAAAATTCTCTACTAAGAGAGTTTCTTTTCTTTTGTTCTAGTGACTTTTACACAGACACAGAGCAAAGGGAAGTAACTGTCTTTTGATTGGCAGGAAGAGTGACCTGTATCTCAAATATCCCAAGCAGCTTCTTTTCCAGCTTCTAGTTCTAGGTGGGAACTGCTAAATGCCAACATTCAGCCCTGAAGTTTCTCCAAAACCTACTATCCATTAATATGTATATTAATACCTACTGTACGTTCTAATTTTCCATAGTAGTCTTCCAAATACTCAAAGTTGGGGTGCCTGGGTGGCTCAGTCAGTTAAGCATGCAACTCTTGGTTTTGGCTCAGGTCATGATCTGATGGTTCATGACTTTGAGCCCCACATTGGGCTCTGCGCTGACAGTGTGGAGCCTGCTTGGGATTCCCTCTTTATCCTTCTCTCTGCCCCTCCCACTCTCTGTCCTTCTCTCAAAATACATAAATAAAAGTTAAAAAAGAACAAAAACTCGAAGACAGAAGATAGTAGGCTATGATCATTTTCTTTTTGAAAGTCATAGTTTTCCATCTTTACCCACTTACCTTGGAAGAAATTGAAGAATTTCTCTAAAGACTTTGAAAGCAATACTGTGAAGGAGCAGGGGAAGTACAGGACTCTGGGGCTCAGGGGTGTTTCTATCCCTTTTTACTTTCTTGTTTGGGTACCAGCCAAGGGTTTTGAAAAGTCTTGACAAGTCCTGTAGGAAGGCAGTGTCATACAATATGCCATGTCAGATGGTATGTAAACATTTCTGTATTCCCCAGAAAAAAAGGTGCTGCTTCTTCACTCATTTTTGTTGTTGTTGAATCAATACTTATTGAATGCTTACTATGCATAAACTTTTATTCTAGGCATAGGCTAATCAGGAGGGGACAAAGAGGACATAATTTCCAACCTCAGGAAACTCACAGTCCTTTCAGATGGGCACTGGATTACTCACATTTGCTGTTACCTGTATATCTCTTTCCAGACTTCAGAACCCTCTTCTGTTGGATATTCCAAACATATCACCTTTTTTTTTTTGTCTCTTCCCCTTTCATGCTTCCATCCTCCAGTGTCCTGTCCCCTGGCCTGCATTTCCCTTCACCTGCTCACATGTACTTTTCTTCCTTAATATTTCTTCTCCGTCATTTAGGAACCCTTTGTCACTTCACAATCCCTGACATAGAGTTAGTGCTGTATACAATCTCAGAGAATGAATGAGTATCTAAATGGACTAAGGTCGCATATAAATGAGTTTTAAGACTGTGCGGGCAGAGGTTTGCAGAGGTAAAGGAAAGAATATTTTGGTTG